TAAAGAAGAAATTAGACAGTTTCTACAAGTAAATGATAATGCCAGTACAACATACAGGAATCTATGGGACACAATGAAAACAGTTCTACCCAGGAAATTCATAGCAATGAATGCCCATATTAGGAAAACAGAGAGAACACAAATAAATAATCTAATGCAGAACCTCAAGCTCCTAGAAAAAGAAGAGCATAACAAACCCAAAGCTCATACAAAGAGGAAATTATAAAGATCAGAGCAGAAGTCAATGCAATGGAGACTAAGAGAAAAAATACAAAAAAAATCAATGAATCAAAGAGTTGGTTTTTTGAAAGAATACATAAAATCCATAAACCCTTAGCCAACCTTATTTACAAAAAGGAAAGAAAAGGCCCAAATCCATACAATTAGGAATAAAAAGTAGAAGTCATAACAGATCCAGCAGAAATCCAGAAGACCATCAATACCTACTTCTAGAGCCTGTACTCTAAAAAAATGGAAACACAGAAGAAATGGACAGATTCCTAATTACATATGAATTGACAACGTTAAATGAAGAAGATATAAAAATTCTAAACACTCCAATTACAATCAGTGAAATTGAAAATATAATTTAAAAATTTACCAGAAAAGAAAAGCTCAGGTCCTGGTGGCTTCACTGCTGAATTCTACAAGACAGTTAAAGAACTATTGCCATTAATCTTTAAATTCTTCAGTGAAATTGAAAGGAAAGCAGTACTTCCAAATCCATTCCTGGAAGCAAGTGTTACTTTGATTCCAAAGCCAGGGAAATACCCAATCAATAAGGGAAACTACAGGCCAAGCTCCCTAATGAACATAGATGCAAAAATCGTCAACAATATACTGGCAAGCAGAATACAGAGGCTCATCAAGAATATCATACACCCTGACCAAGTTGGATTTATCCCAGGGATTCAAGGATGGTTCAACATACATAAATCAATAAATGTAACACACTATATTAACAGAGCCAAGAATAAAAACCATATGATGGTGTCAATAGATGCAGAAAAAGCATTTGACAAAATCCAACACCCATTCATGAAAAAAACCCTACAGAAAATTGGAATAGAATGTCTTTATCTCAAACTGATTAAGGCTATGTATGAAAAACCAACAGCTAACATCATACTGAATGGTCAAAAACTAAAAGCCTTCATGCCAAAATCAGGAACAAGATAAGGATGTCCACTATCACCACTCCTATTCAATATAGTTCTGGAAACATTAGGCACAGCAATTAGATAAAAGAAATATATAAAAGGAGTAAAGATAGGAAAGGAAGAAGTTAAACTGTCATTATTTGCTGACGATATGATACTCTACATAGAAGACCCAGAAAACTCTGCCAAAAGACTTCTAGACTTAAATGACAGGTTCAGTAAAGTAGCTGGATACAAGGTCAACACTCAAAAAACAATAGTCTTCTTGACCACAAATAACAGACTCACTGAGAGAGAAATTAGTGTAACAATTCCTTTTACAATAGCATCCAAAATAAATGAAATATCTAGGAATCATTCTAACAAAGGAAGCAAAAGACCTCTACACTGAAAACAACAGCACTCTGAAAAAAGAGATCAAAGACTATATAAGAAATTGGAAAGACATCCCTTGCTCCTGGGTAGGAAGAATCAACATAGTGAAAATGTCCATACTTCTAAAACTGCTGTATATATTTTATGCAATGCCAATAGAAATTCCAACAATATATTTCACAGAACTAGAGAAAATAATTCAAAAATTCATTTGGAACCAGAAGAGTCCTAGAATAGCAAAAGCATTTCTAGGCAACAGATACAAGGTAAGGGGTACCACAATCCCCAACTTGAAAATATACTACAAAGCTATTGTGTTAAAAACAGCATGGTAATGGTAAAGAATCAGACCTGAGGACCAGCGGAACAGATTAGAAGATGCAGAAACAACTCCAGACACACTCAGCCACCTTGTCTTTGACAAAGGAGCCAACCATCCTCACTGGAGGAAAGGTAGCCTCTTTAATAAATGGTGCTGGAAAAACTGGATTTCAACCTGCCAAAGATTAAAACTAGACCCATATCTATCACCATGAAGTTAACTAAGCTCAAAGTGGATTAAAAATCTAAATATCAAAACAGAAACACTAAACTTGCTGGAAGATAAATTAGGTACAACTCTTTGAAGACACTGGCATAGGAAAAGACCTATGAACAAACCTCAGTAGCATGGGTACCAGCACAAAGAATCAGCACCTGGGACCTCATCTTATTAAAAAGCTTCTGCACTGCAAGAGAAACCACCAACAGAGCTAAAGGACAACCTGTAATGTGGGAAAAAAATTTTAGCAGCTGTGCCTCAGACAAAGGACTATTATCTAGAATATATAAAGAAATGGAAAAACTCAGACACCCCCAAATTTATAGACCCAATCCAAAAACAGGCATCTGAAATGAACAGACATTTCTCAGACATAGAAGTAAAAGCAGTAAATAAACAAATGAAAAAATGTTCCACATCACTGGTCTTTCAAGAGATGCAGATGAAAACAACACTGAGATTCCACTTCACCCCAGAAAGAATGGCTGCTTTCGAGAAATCAACCAATAACAAATGCTGGCAGGGGTGAGGGGAGAAAGGAACCCTTCTCCACTGTTGGTGGGAGTGCAGACTGGTGCAACCACTGTGGAAATCAGTATGGAGATACCTCAAAGAACTAGGACTAGAAGTCCCATTTGACCCAGCTATTCCCCTGCTGGGTATCTTCCCCAAAGAATTAAAAGAATCATACCACAATGACATATGTGCACCCATGTTTATAGCAGCACAGTTTGTAAAAGCAAAAGCTTGGAAACAGCCCAAGTGCCCATCAACTGGAAACTGGATAAAGAAAATGTGGTGTTTTTTTAATAAAATGGAGTACTACTCAGCCATAAAGAATGAGAAACTAGAGACATTTGTAGCTAAATTGATGCATACTGAGACATACTTTTAAGTGAAATAAATAGGACAAAAATGTGTAAATACCGAATAGTTTCTGTGCTGAGAAACTGAAAGTGTAAATAAGGATTAAAATGAATAATTGATAATATTAAATAGGAAGAAAAGGCCCAAAGTGGTAGGGGACATGGGAGGGGTAAGGGAAAGGAAAGAAGGGAAAGGAAAAATTATGAGAAAAGGGAAGAATAAAAGCAAAGTCTTTGTAAATAGGGAAGGGTGGAGGGGGTAAAGGAAGGACAGGAAATGGGGAAATATAAGAATCAAGATATATCATGTAAAGTTTCAAGTACCCAATGATAAATGTAAATGTATTGTATACCTAAAATGTACCAATAAAAGAATCTAAGGAAAAAACAGAAATTAAGATGTGTTATATACATACATATGATATTTTGATATATGTATACATTATATGACATTAAAACCAAGTTGAAAAAAAGGAATTGAAATGTGTTATGAACATTTACCAATTTTTCACAAGGAATGTAAACATGTACTACATACATGTACTAATAAACTAAAATTGTAAAAAATCAGATTCAACGTATCTATCTCCTCATTTATTATTCCTTTATGATGAAAATTTCAAGATCATTTATTCTAGCTTATTGAAATGTATAGCACATTGTTATCTATAATTACCCTATTGTGGAATAGTACTTCAGAACTTCTTGCTCCTATCTAACTATAACTTAGTACCTATTGATGTAGAATTACAAATTCTTGACCACTGCCCCTCCCCCACAAATTTCAAAAACTCTAGGATGAGGCCTATCAATCTCTTTTTATGAGACATTTAAATTGATTCTGATACATGTTAAAAGAGATAAAGGTATAGATAGTGTCACAGAATACTGATTATACTGAGAAAGAGAAAGAAGGAAGGAAAGAAAGAAAGAAAGAAAGAAAGAAAGAAAGAAAGAAAGAAAGAAAGAAAGAAAGAGAAGAAAAAAAGAAAGAAACTTTTTTTCCTATGATTCCCAACCTAGTGACTAGACTTTTCTTGGCAAGGAAGAACTGTCTTATGAAGCTGTTATTAATGAATTCAATCTCAAACTTCTGATAAAAGGTCACAGGAAATGTTTGTTCCAAATATGCATAACTAGTTGATCCTTTAAGAGAAATTATCTTTTTCTTTTCTGCTGTATGGCAATTTTCCATCATTTAAAAAATATGAATTTTTTTAGTTAGAAAAACAAACATCTACAAACACAGATACACATTTTTTGCATAGAAAGTTACATAAGTAGATTCCTGGTAAATATTTTGATGCTAAAATTAAAACTTTTGAGTAAATTTTATATATTGCTATAAATGACGTAAGTGTAAATTTAACCAATAAGTTGCATATTTTTCCTTGCTAGAATTTAATTTTGATTACACAACTCAATTTAAAGCATTCTGCAGAAAGGCCCTAGCACTTTCATGTGGAAGTAATATATTTTTCTCTGTGTTTGATAGCATTATGGAGAGGCAGAATATCTTTCTTGATCATCAAGAGGACCCTGATAGCTATTCAGATTGTGTGAAATTTGATGCTCGATCAATGACGGCATTGCTTCCTCCTTGTAAGTAGAAGGGGAATAGGTTTCTAAGGGGTGGAAGGTGCTTGTTTATTTTTCTAGGGCTGCTATAAAAAAATCACAAATTATATGGTTTAGAACTACAGGATTAATCTGCATCTTTTAACAACTGAATAAACCTTGTCTCAAAAAAAGGCCTTGGGGATGTAGCTCAGTGCAAAGTCCCTCGGGTCAATCTCCAGCACTACAGTCAATCATTGAATGAATTCTTTTCCTTCATAGCTCTGAGGTCTATAAATCTGAAATCTAAGAGTATGGAGGATCACCAGCCCTTTCAATAATTTTTGGGAAGAATCCTTTCACGCTTTCTAAATTCTAGTAGCTCCTGGCACCTCATGGTGTGCCGTAGCTTATGGCTGCACCACTCTAACCTCTGCTCCTTTCTTCATTTGTTATTTCTTCCTGTGTAACTTTGAGTCTTTTCTCTTCTTCAAAAGACCCCAGTCATTCGATTAGGGCTGATCCTAATCCAATATGACATCATTTTAATTTGAGTACAAGAATCCTATTTCCAATCAAGATTACTTGCATAGGTAATTGGGGTTAGAATTTAAACTTACCTTTGAGAGACACATATTCTACCCACAGCAGGTGAATCAGTAGTTTCTACAGGAGCAACAGGAGCTCAAAGCAAATAATATTCTGTCTGGATGGGCTTGTTTAAGGTGGCAGGACAGGATTTCTTATGATTCTGCCAAGGCTTGAAGGATGAATACCTATATCCAAGGGCATGGGGGGCAAGGGGGAATTGGAGAGATCACTCAGAGGAAGAAACACATGTAAAACCTTTAAAGCATCATATGTGAGTCCCCACAAAGGCAAACCTGGCATACAGAAATCAATCCCAGGGCAGGTTCGTCTTGTGGGTTGTGTAAAAGATGGATGAGAGGATTTGATACCAATGTGATGTGCATGAAAAAGAAAAACAAAAGCTGTATAGACAGAGATAATGAATGAATGACAAGAAAGGACAAAGGCCTTGGCCATCAGAATTTTGTGAGATGTGCAATAGGTAGAATATGAAAAACTTGTGATAATGAATTAGAAGTGAGAAAGATGGTGATACATAGGTTTCAGGGTTAGTCAACTTGAAGGTGTAATGTCCCATTCTTGTATTTTGGATTATTTTTCTTTTTCCTTTTTCTTCTTTACTTTTGAATTTGTTTTCTGACAATCCCTCATACAAAGTTATTAAATATATTTGTATTTTTCTTTTAGTTTAGAAGTTTTCAAACAGAAAACAAAAGTTTTCTTTTTGTTGAAAAATCGGATAAATGATAAGAGGGAAAAATTTCAATGGATATTTTATTCACTTACTCAGGGAAAAGTCTTCTGCTGCTGTTTCCCCTCTATCTCAATGTATTTTTCCCACAATTAACATCCCATTTTATGAATCACTGTTCCATATAAGACTAAGTTTAGCATAAAAGTAAGATTATTGTTACTTTAATGTGTCCTGAAATATCCCAAGGATGGGCTTCAATGATCAATACTAAAGTTTAATAATTATAGATCATTTTATTTATTTAATTTCAAAGTAATTTTATAATGTATTCAAATTACAAGAGGTAGCAGAATATAAAACTATTAAGATAAAACTTCTAAAGAACATTAAATTGCTTGTCATTAAAATAAATATTTCTCTTAATTAGTTAAAATATGAAACAAATTTACAATTATTTGGGGAATTTTATTTTATCTAGAATATATTGCCATATGAAATACATAGAAGAATAAAATTTATGCTTGCATACATCAGTATTAATATTAAAATTCATCAGCTAATCCCATAAAATGCAATAAGTAGAATTTGTGGAATTTTAGTGAATCAATAAATCATCCATTGTTCACAGTGAGACCCGTGTCAACTTTTTCTATAACTATCCTTTTGCTTCCTACTTTGTAAATAAGGATCTATTTTATTCCTTTTTTTATTCCAATAGGCTTGATTATAACAACATAAGTGGTAATTACAAAAATTTTAATCAAGTAAGAAGAGCAAGTTTTTTAACAATAGGTTGGCATTTCTTTCTTTAGATCCTAAAAATGGCCTCCAAGAGAAACTGAAGTCCTTCAAAGCTGCACTCATTGCCCTGTATCTCCTTGTGTTTGTTGTTCTGATACCTGTCATCGGAATAGTGGCAGGTACAGTATTCTAGAATTCAAGCAGCATTCAGTTTGCTTTATATAGTAGATTGAAAAAGTAGTTTTCATATACAAAGTGTTCCTTAAATGTATTAAATTAAAAAATAGTTTCTGCAGTGTTAAATGGAAACAAATAGACTTTTAAAACCAAGAAAAATAGAATAGAGTAAGACAAATATATAGTTATATGAAGGTCATATGGGACAACTTAAACTATTTTCAAAATGCACTAATCTTTAAGGTCTTATGTATTTCTAAGAATGGGTCAAAAATTTTGTGGTAAGTATTCTTGTCCAATGTGAAAAAATACATGATAACATATGTTAACAATGTATACACTGTAAAACACACCTATTGTATAGATCTATGTCTATTATTGACAGCAGAAAAAAATTCTCGTTGTAAAATAACGATCTCTCTCATTTAATATTTATATACTTTACAGCGATACACGATTCATTGTTATTATTTAAAATATCTCTAAAAATAAGATTAAAAATTATTTTGAGGAAAAACATAGAATGAGTTACTGACAGTATGATTTTCTCCAGATCTGTATTTCTTTGGGGAGTCTGGGGTTGCATTTGAGGATCTATACAAGAGTGTGTGGCTTTCACATACTTCAATGATATTGTGAACATCATTTTCCTATGAAACTTTTTTATGTGTTTGATAGATTTTAATTGACGCTTGACTTTATATGCCTTACTACTCTTCTCTATGGTTGGTATAGTGCCTCACCATATATGTTCTATCAAGGAATAGGCTTTGAATAAAATGCATTTCTAAGTGCTTACTAATTATCCTAAAAAGAAAGTACTCCTAAATACAAGACTCAACTTCCCGGTAAGGGACAATCTAAGGAAGTATTCAAAGACAGAGCCAAATCCCTCTCAGATAAAAGTAAAAATAAAAATGGCAATGTGAGAATCGATATTGTTTTTGAATACTTTCTGTGTCCAGGCACTGAGCTGTAAACAAATTATCTTAACATACCCATATAGTTACCCTGTGAGCACATTCTATAATTATCCTCATTATGGGCACAAGAAAACTGAGACTCCTCACTAATAGAGCTACAGTTCCCATCTATAAATTCTGGATCCTAAACTCTATGGTGTATTGTCTTCTAGTATAATTGGATTTTTATAACAAAATATGGTCTGCCAATTTTAAAACAACTACAACCCAAAAATGGTATTGTTGTGATTTTATCTAAGAAAATATATTTCCATGTGAAGAAATAAAATCATTTTAGCTATTGAACAAAAACAAAAATTCAAATATAAAAACAAAACCCACAAGCAAACAAAATACAACCATCTAAAATAAAAGGTGCTGATGTGCCTGAATTAGTCCACTTCCTGATGAATCAAGATTATCTCTGTGTTGTCTATATATGTTATCTGTATAAGTTTCATTTAGGTGCATAACTGAAAGATGCATCATTGGTTGGGATTACTAGCTATACACTAGTTAGAATGCAGATACACTTCATCTCTTTTATCCAAAACACAGCCAGTAGTGCCACCCTGGGCGATTAAAGCTTCTGATAGGTCCATGCAGAATGCAGACAGAAGTCTTTCAGGAATTCAGGAATTCAGAGTTATAATCATCTCTAAAATCGCTAGGCTATTAGAAAATACTGCCAACTCTGCACATTAGTTCTAGAGCTAATAATGATTGGTATAATGCAGTTTGTTTCATAAAACTACAGTAGATAACCTACTAAGATTGACTAGAAGACAAAAATAGTCCAATTTTATAAATTCACACAAGTCCCATATTCACTAGAATTTAGAAAAGAACTCACAGTGTCCATCATACATTCATAATAAACAATTGACAATCCATTTAGTAAGTTGTAGATCAGAATATTTTTCCAAAAGGAATCTAAATAAAATACATATCTCCACTCGGTATTAAAAAATTGCAAATGTGGACAGAATATATCACTCAAATGGTAGAAGTTACCCTGGGAAATGTGAATTGATGGATGAAATAAAACATATGGAGAAGCTATTTAAATTTAATGTGCCTCATATATTGAAAGATGCTTTCTTAATTAAATGATTTACTCCATGTGCTACCTTTAATGAAGCTGCTGAGTCACTGTTAGAGCATTACAATGTAATGCTGTCCCAGAGCAATAGGATACAATCTAAAGTTGATGTGTATAAATTGCTACTGAGACACCAAAAATACTTCACTCAAAACAATATAAATTTTGGATAGAAAAAGATATTACCCGCATAAAGAAGTAAGCATGATCTGTATAATCAAATATAACTTTTCCCTAGGTCTTTGGATATTGTCTAAAATATTTTCTCCTTTCTTGAACAAAATATCAAAGTCACAAAATGCTATCTGTCCAATAACAATTAAGAAAAAAATACATGCTCTGGCATTGTTTACCTACCTATAAGATGAAGAGTTGAATATTTTGTTAAAGAAAGTAAAGTTTAAATTAGTTTCATTTGGGGTTAAACAAGCAATGCTATAGTCAGTGTTGTAAAATAATATCAAAATGTTATCATCCCAGTTTATAAACTTAAATAAGCTAATATTAAAGGAATTTAATGAAAAATAAAATATTTTTAAAACTTGGAATTTAATTTCAATTGATTATATAATATTTATTCTCAATATAATTATGGCTACAGTGGCTATCATCATCAGACACCTTCTTTAACTAAAGGTAATGAATGCTATGGGCACTGTAACTCAGACACTATCTTTCATTAATATGCAATTTGTAGTTGAATAGAGTTTTCACATGTGCCAATTTGTCTGGGAGGGGATTTACATGCTTGATTTCACTCAGGCTCAAGTCAGTGTAGAGGTAAATATTGCTTTTACCTCTGAGAAAGTGTAAGTAAGGAAAGGTTAAGTAAGTTACCCAGAGTAACCCAGTGAGGAGTGGAGCTAGATTCTAGAATCAGGCAGGTTGGTCCTATAATAAGCAAACTGCTCTTATCTATGTAACAGGCATCCTGAGTTAGGTATGAAATTGTGTGTGTGTATGTGTGTGTGTGTGTGTATGTCCATTATCTCATCTAATCCTCAAACATCTATAAACTGGTAATACAACCCATAGAAAACTAACAGATTGAAGTGTAGCTGTATATATAGATATATTTTTAAACCATAAAGTTCTTTGTTTTTTGGATTTTTTTGGTACCGGCGATCGAATTTGGGACCTTGCACTTGCGAGGCAGGCACCAGAACCACTGAGCTAAATCCCCAGCCCCACCATAAAGTTATTTTTTATTGTTCCACAATTGTGACTAAAACCCAGATATATAGAGAGGTGATAAATATGCATATAGAGAGATTTAGCAAGAAAAAAAATCTTAATCATACAATAATAAAATAGTGTTTAACTTTTTCTTCATTGTTTAGTATGTTGTATTATTTTTTCTGCAAAGTTAGTGTTTCTTTTCTTTTTGGAAACTATACAGCATATTTCTCTAGATAATTTTGGAAGGATAATTAGCTTGTTTAGAAGATATAATGCTCATTTGGAAATATATATCAACAGCTCAGTATGTTCCTCAAGTGCCATTTGATAGAATTGTTCTGCAGGACATAATTTATGACAAGATTGTTCATCAAAACATTAAATATATTAGGAAAACAGAAACAAACTAGATATAGAGATTTTGTTAGATAAATCTGGTAAATCAATACACAGAATATAATGTGGGTATTGAATTATTTTTGCATAAAATATTAGATAATATTAAAAATATTTATGACATAACATTCCTTTAAAAAGTAACTTGCAGATTATACATAAAATACAGCTTTTCTTTTGAATGCTATGATAGTATTTCCACCATGCTAGTGGAAACAGAGAACTTGTTTTGATATTCAAAAAGCCAACTTTAATGGCCAGAAAATTTATGTAGGCAGCAGTTCACAATGAATGACATAATACTGTAATAAAATCCATTGTAAAGTGGGGAAGGGAGACTTGATGATCTACAGAGTGTGATTCAGCCACTGTATGTTTATAATAAATACTCAATTTATGCTAGCATTCAATATGCTGTACTGGAAGGAAATAAAATAAGTGGAATGGAATGATGTAGAATGGAGTTATGTATGAATTTAAGGATATAGGTCATATTTGGTTTATATTTACTTAAATATGCAGCTCATCTTCTGAAGTGGGAAATGAAGAATTGCACAGTTGGTTCAATTCATGCAAGCGATATGTCTCAAAGTCTGGGAAGACAAAATGTCAGTGGAGATGAAATGAGATTTCGAGAAATTATCTTGGAACACATTGACAACATTGAGAAGAGAATCCAACACATTTCAGATTTAGAAGCCAATTTCATAGATTCAGACTACTTCCAAAATTTCAGTGCAACAACTGATCAAAGATTTAATGATACTCTTCTGCAGCTAAGTACCTTGGTTTCCTCAGTCCAAGAACATGGCAATGCAGTAGATGAAATCTCCAAGTCCTTAATAAGTCTGAACATCACATCGCTTGATTTGCAGCTCAATATAGAAACAATGAGTAGCAAAATCCAAGAGACTACATTGAAGCAAAAAGAGGTAAGAGCTTATGTACTGCAAGTTCACTCTCTGGAATTAAGTCCATTCAGATCCTGTCTCCTTAGGCAGTCCAGGAAAACAAAATATGAAAACCCTATCTCAAAACCATGCTACTTACCCTGACTCTTCTGGTAATCTGACTACAAGGTTTCAAGTGCCTTGACATAGTGACTTTTCCAGGCTCTCAGCAAAAGGGACAATTATTTTCCATTGGATATAGAGTCCTTTAAGGCATTTTAATTTTATATATATAACATTATAGTGCCTTGTTGGACTGTCAAAGCCAATCTGTACAAGTAGTCACCTTATATTTGTGAATTTCACAATAGAATCTATATTTCTTCATCACCAAAGGAATGGTAATCCTATTTACATGGAAACAAAATCAAATTTTGGTTTATTCTTAAGAGTTACACTTGTCCTTAGGTATTTATCAATAACTAAAACTAAAGGATTAAATTTTGAATAATGTATATGTATTATAATTCTGAGATTATAATAGGATAGTAATGCATAAAGTACATATTGATAAAGTACATATTAAAGTTTCTCTTTCTATGAAAACTATGATAATCTTTGTCACTGAGAAACAGCAAAGGAGAATCACTGCACAATCAAGATGCGGAAGAGCAGATATTCCTTTATATTGCTGCCAACAAAGCAAGATTTACTCTAGACCAGTTTTCAGCAAAATTTCTTTTGAATGGACTAGATTAAAACACTTTAGGCTTTGGGGAGCATACGTCTCTGTCACATCTACATTTAGCCTGAAAACAGCAAGCATAAACAGTTTGTACAGAAATGAAAAAAGCTTTGGTGCAACAAGCATTTATTTACAAAGATAGTCTGTGGGTTGAACTTGTTCCATCAGCTATAACTTTATGACTTCTATTCTAGTGTATTCTGTACCAACCCCGATTAAGCTCTGGATTACTTTGCAATTAATGAGAAAGAAATTAAAAAACAAATCATATATTTTAACTTTCTCATTTGTTGAAAAATTCTATTTGGTTTTTGGTGGAAAATAAATACCTAACTAATACTTCACTATTCATGTGAAAAATAATCTTCATATGATAAGATATATAAGACTTTAGATCACAATGTGAAGCCTATATTTCAATATATTGCAATCCCAGTATCGCTGGAGTAAATCTAATTTGGAGAGATCTATTCTTAAAAAAGATTGTTTTCTTTATAAAAACACCATTACAGCTAGTGACTTTTTAAAATGGATGAGTAAAAATACATCTCTAAAGTTATCACATCAAATGAAAACCAATTGAATTATTGACTGAAAATTGACTAAGCAAGTTAAGAAAGTCTTCATTTTTATAGTTTTTGAGATTCAGTTATTCAAAACTTTGGAATTCTTACATCTTCCTCATTTTAAATTGTTCCAAGATATGGCATTAGTCTTTACACATGGGGATGATTTTGTTGACGAAATTATCTCAACCTCAACCTTAATATTTTGCTCCTTTTCACTGTTACTGTTCCCAAAATCTGATGGGTGGTATTTCCCACATTGTTATAACATTGTAATTATTTCAAATATGATTGAGATTTCAAGAAGAAATTGTCCATAGGGATGAGGGATGTGAGAGACAGAGAAAGATAAAATGTCAGTTATGGTAGACTTTGATTAACTTGAAGAGAAAAGAACAATAACTTTATGTAGAAATGAGATCAGATGCAAGAGAGAAAATGGACAAAATGGAAGAAAAAAACTCCTGATTTCGTAATGTGCCAAGCCCAGCAAAAATGGTAGAGTATCTTTGATCCAACATTAAGTGATATATTGTAACCATTTAGAAAATTTTTGGAAGGCAAATTTTCAATGAAAGAATAAGTAAGTTAAATGAATGGCCAAATCACTGAATGATGTTTGGAAAAAAAGATCTGAAAGTAATACCAACATTCTATTTAAAGATGATAGAACAATCATACATTTGAAAGAAAAAGGAAGAAAATTGGTACTATATATGGATGATGGGGTGGAATATATCATCTCCTTTTTTTGTAGAAAAGATTGTAAGACTGAAAAATTAAATGTGCATTTCCAACAATGCTACTGTTTGTGGAATATGGAGGGTGTGCATCAATATTGTATAGGATTTTGAAAAAAATCACATCTATTTCTGCCCTTCCAGTAAAAATAATTCCAAGTGAAACTTGCAAATGTGATCATCGTGTGTAGTTTTTAAAGAAAACTTCAGGTTCTAAATAGCAAAATCACTTGCTAAACTTTTACTCTGTGGGTATCTGGAACTACATGCCATATTTGCAACAATTTTTAGGTACTTAAACAAAATCAACCTTATGATCAAAGTATGGTCATGCATTCCTATATATGCCACAATGAAACTCATTATTTTGTATAGTTAATATACACTAATAAAAAGAGAAACATTTTAAAAAATCTTAAATAATTTTAAATATATATATACAATACAATTCCAGTAAATTATTGAAAATAAGTCTGTCTTTAAATATTAAGCAAGTGAATATCCTTAATACATTATCAAATTAAAAGCACATTCCAAAACATGGGGTGCTTTTATCTTTTGCTCACATACTTTCTATGTGTATATGTGCAGAGGTATATAAATACACACAAAGTATGTATGAAATTGGTAACAGAAAGTAATAATAAAGCCTTAAATATAAAGATGATAGAAGTTGAAAGTAAAATACTATCACAAAACTTTGAGGTTTTGTTCAATATAAAAATCTGGCCTTAATATTCACTATCACTGAGAATTGCAATATTAATCTTTGGTTAATTGCTGTAAAATAATTGAATGTATAAATTTAGAAAATTAAAAGAATTGAAATATGTTGCCTCCCTAAGTAAGTCTCACTTCAGATTTTTAAAAATCATCTGAAAAGTTTTAATTTTAATTTTTAGCATTTTGACATCTAAATATTTGGGAATAGAAACCTACCTCACACATGTATTCAATTGATTGGGAGAGGGTAGGCTGGGGCTGAAAAATTTTGGATATTTAATCAAAAGAGGAAATGTTGTACAAACAAAGAGCTACTATTTTAAAATAGTTTTCTAATTTGCATATTATTCTTCCATAGTGTCCCCATAATATTGTATGTTTTATAGAAACCTTAACTTCCAAGACTTCTTGAACTTATATATTTGATTATTATATCCTAACAAAAATTGCGAATGCTTACTATACTTCGCAGGATATTAGTAAATTAAAGGAGAGTGTATACAATACATCAACAGAAATTAAGTCTCTGAAAGAAGAGCAAGAGCATCTGGAACAGGAAATAAAGAGAGAAGTGAAAGCACTGAATAACATCACCAATGACCTCAGACTCAAAGATTGGGAACATTCTCTAACTTTGAGAAATATCACTTTGATTCAAGGTAAAATGCTTTGTTAATTACCCAGAGAAAATCATGTGATAAACCGATATATGTAGAAGTTTGGGATTTGAAATTCTGTGATTTAAAATAAATAGCCTTCTAAGTGTTTATTTACAATAAATGCACAGCAAGAATCTTAAGATCAGACCAAACATGGTAAGGATAACCCATGGCTACCCTCTAAAGAGAAAGGGATAAATAAATACCTTGAGATCCAATGAGTATCTTGTTGATGAATATTCCCAAATGTATTAAAGACCAATTCAAGTATGAAGTTTTTTATATGTCCACAAACAAAGCCTGTTAATTCTGTTTTTCAAAATTTCCATATTCTTTTTTTTCATCAAATTTATTGATACAATTTAGGTATACATGATGATCACATTCATCTTAGGGAATTTGTACCTGTACATGATATATCTTGGTTATTTTTTTCCCATACCCCTTCCCTCTCTTTCACCCCTTCATCCCTCCCTATTTACAAATGCTTTGTTTCCATTATTTCCTTATTTTTTTCTTTCTCTTCTTTCCTTTCTCTTGCCCCAATTAGTTCCCCTCTGAGTTGAACATTATCTTCCTTTTTCACAGTATCTATTATGGATTTTAGTCCTCATTTACACTTTGTTTCTCACACTAGAAAAATGATTCATTATTTACATGTGTGTCCTATTTATTTCACTTAAAGTATAGTCTCGTGGTGCATTCATTTAGTTATAAATGACTCTAGTTAACCTTTTTTACCTGACTGTACTATAAATTAGCCTTTTGAACCCTCTATAAAATATTGATGATTTGCATATTTCTTTTTCAGTTCTTGCTAGTTAAACAAAGTGAATTGACTCTTACTGATTTTTAATAAGCACAAATCACTGTCTTTTAGTTATTTTTATACTGTAGATATTTTCCATATGTTATGTTCAATTTTTAAAATATTTATATTCTTCTATTTGTTTGATGTAACAATTTCTTTTCACTGTATTTTTTCTACTATTTTATTTTTGTGTTGTGTTTTTCCAGTTTGTTTTACACTTCCTTTGTCTTCTTGTCTATTTTTAGATTGATTGATATTTTTCTTTTATTAAATTTTTCTGTTAGTGCTACCACACAGACTTTGGAAACCTTATAGTATATTCCCATTTTCTTAAAAGTTTCCTGTAAAATGTACTCTAATAAAGTCTAAAGTTGACTGAGATCGTAGCATGTCATTCTGAAATACACAAGGAACCTAAAATGTTTTGTCTCATGACTGTTTTTCCTGGTTTTCTACTGAGTTTGAATGTAGTTCATTTCTGTTTCTCGGACATTTTAAAACCAAGAATTTAATCAATATTACAATATTTTTTCTTTATAAAAACAGTACATATTTAGGTTTGCCTGTGAGCATACCAATTGTTTCACTTTCTAAATGAATCTTAGCTATCTCTTCTGGGGTCATTTTCTTTCTGCATAAAGTCTATATTTTGGAAGTTCATTCAGTGAAAGCCCATTGATGGTGAAAACTTTTGACTTCATTTTTTCTATTTTGCTCTGATCTTTACCTAACTACATATGCATTTTTAAGGTACTGTTTTCCCTCACTATCAATGGGATATTGGTTCCATTATCTGCATAGATACAAAAATCCATGGCTAAACAAGTCTCTCCTCCTGTATACTTTGAACCACTTCTAGATTACTTAAAATACCTAGTATAATGTAAATGCTATGTAAATGTCATATTGTATCAATTAGGGAATAATGTCAAAAAGTATTTTCATGTGCAGGCCAGGTACTTCTTTTTTATGTGGGTGGTTGGCAAATCTGTGGGATGTAGAATCTGGGAATACAGAAGACTGATTTTATTTTGAACAAATTCTTCCCCTGGCTTCTGACTTTTCTTGCTGTTCTTTAAGTGATTGGTACTAATCTGGATATAAGTCTCTTTGTCTTTAATATCTACAATCATTTATACTTCATTTTGTTTGAGAATCTATTCATTTGAAATTTGTTGTATTTTCCGTATCTGTGGACTTATGTTTATCATTAATTGGGAACATTATGAGTTTTCATTTCTTTGAATATTGTTTCTGCACAATTCTTTTTAGCCTTCCCTCTGTAACTCTAAATTCAGGTCAGACCTTCTTATTCTACCTTTCATGCTTGCTAAGCTCTATTTTATGATTTTAATATTTTCTCATAAGTAATTAGAAGAATAGAAATCAGGAGCTTCATGAGATTTCATTTTATATATACTAGTTTAGGAAAATTAAAATTTCTGATAATCCAAATGTTGACAAACAAATGCAAGTCCCAGAAGACTATAATTTATGCTGTTAATGCTACAATTTAACAACAGTAAACAATGTATATTTATTTTCACATACATATGTAATAAGAGTGATTATTTTTTACATGAAAGAAAATAAGAAACATCAAATTTAGGTTTATATTTGAAAAGGAAGTAGATGAAGGAGATGGGGAGAACTTAGGTAGGTATCTATTTCTTGAGTTGTAATGCTCTAGGGGTATTTTCTTTATTACTGTACTTATATTTTATAGAGAAGATATACTAATAAAGAGATTATTAAAACAGGTAAAAATTTAAATTAATCAATGTTTAATTATCAATTCGACTTCACTTTTGCTTTCAAATAAATATCCAAAACTCTTCAAATCCAAAAGCAAACCCTTGGCCCTTTATCAGCCCACCTTGATTCGCTGCTCCAAATCTTTTACTGGTCCTGTCTTTTTGTCAGTTGTTTCACTGTTCAACCAGTTGCTCACTTCAAGATCCTATAAGGTATCTTTTACTTTTCTCTTGGTCTCATTTCCCATACAGTCCATCCAAGTCCTTTTAACCCTATTTGTATACAATATTTCAAATAAATTTCCTCACTATCTCTATTACTCCTCTAAGCCATGTAAACTTACTCCAGCCTTGCTCACTATATTAGCCTCCCAACTGGGCACACCTATCCACTCTTTATCCATTTCACGTAAAGCAAAAAAAAGTATTATTTTAAAAACACCTCACACACATTATTAGATCTTTTCTCTCCCATCCTTAAGACTCTCCAATATCTGACCTTCGGACTTAGTGTAAAGTCAAAACCTCTCTTGGCTTGATACCCATCTGCTTTTCTGCCCTCATTTTATAATTTTCCCTCTGATATTCCTCTGTATGGCTTATAAATGTGGAAGAATGAAAATGGCAGGAAGATGAATTATTGGAAATTTTTTTAAATGAATTGTGTCTTTAACCATTTTATATATGAAGGAAAATTTAATCCAGAGGTAATGGAAGAATAGAAGACAAAGGGAAGTCAAATAGGCTTGAAATATTGTAGCATAGTGTATCAGGAAGGAAGTATCCTAACTCTGATTATATCCAATAAGGTTTAAGAATTAAGGCCTTTGATCTCTATAACTGTATTTGATTAAGCAATTTTAAGGCCTCTTCCTGATCAGACATATCTAAATCAGTAATTATGAAAAGTGGAAAAAAGAGAGAGGGAGGGACAAAGAGACAAATACATAGGCTTAAGCAGCAAGTAGCCTAGGAGATCAGGCAGATTTTAAAATCATCTGACTATGAAGCAACACTGAAGATAAAGTAGAAAATTAATAATCATAATAAATAAGACATGGGAAAGGATCACCGTGGATATTTAGATATATTATTAATGCTGTTGTATTCTGGGGATTATATTTTTTTTTTTTAAATTTGGATAATTTTTTTCTCATTAAATCAAATGTGTCAATTTGGGAGATATAGATTTGCAAATTATTACAAAAAATTGGACAGCAAATATTATTTTCTCATATGCATTCACGTGAATATTTGGATAGGTTTACTGGACATTTATTTATGAAAAAATTTTATTTATTTTTTTAATTCATTTTATTGGTACATTTTCGGTATACAATATAATGACATTCATCATTGGAAATTTGCACCTTTACATAATTTCTGTTGGTTCTTATGTTGCCCCCATTCCCCTGCCCTCCCTTCAACTCCTCCATCCTTCCCTATTTACAAAGACTTTGTTTCCATATTTTCATTTTTTCATATGAATTCCATTCCCTTCTTTCCTTTACTCTACTCCTCCCACTTCCCCTTACCTTTTGCCCCTTTTCTTCCTATTTACATTATCTGTTATACCTTGTGGTCCTTACATAACTTTCAGTTTCTCACAGCAGAGAAACTATGCAGTATTTATACATGTGTGTCCTATTTATTTCACTTAAGAGTATAGCCTCCATGTGCATCCATTTTGCTATAAATCTCTCTAATTTCTCATTTTTTATGCCTGAGTAATATTCCATTTTATGAAAAAAACACATTTTCTTTATCTAGTCTCCAGTTGATGGGCAATTGGGCTGTTTCCAAGTTTTAGCTATTACAAATTGTGCTGATATGAACACAGGTGCACATATATCACTGTGGTATAATTCTTTTAATTCTTTAGGAAAGATATCCAGCAGGGCAATAGCTGGGTCAAATGGGACTTCCAGTCCTAGTTCTTTGAGGTATCTCCAT